TAACTACTCATAATGATTATTGGAAGTACGAAAAATGATATTTCAAAGTTGAATTTGCAATATTTTCAGTTCCTTATCAGAAACTGTTAATTTTGGTGGTATCACAGTGGACAGTCAAGCTATTACTGCAGCAACAATAAGTGCAACAGGTATTGCTGAGCACGTGCAATATAAAGTTGAACTTCACAAAGTTAATTTAAATGGTACTCTACAACCAATCAATGGTCCAATTTTCGTTGGTGATGATATTGTAAGTAACACGTCATTTTTTCTTCATATTTTCAACGTTTCTCTAAAATACGTGAGACCGAAAAAGCATCTTTTTCGGTTCATCAAAAAAAAAAAGAAACAAAATGATATTTCTTTTTAAACTAAATTGTTAATATTTCTTATTTAATCTATTCTTTATTCTCAATAAATGTTTTTTCTTTCGTATGCAACATTTTCTTTTTTATCCAAATCTCCCATTGTTCGTTTTATCTTTCAAAATGAAAACTTTTTACATATCATTGTTTAAATTTTTCAACATTCATATCATAAAAAAGAAAACGAGAAATAAAGCTGAGAACTTAAAAAGGAGAAGAACATATCATTTACACAAGCTTATTAGATCAGGCATTTCAGGTTTCACTTTCAGATCAAATATTTCATTTGGAATTATGCTAGCAATATTTTATGAATGTATTATCCTCCCATCTTTTATTCATCATTTTAATTGAAAGACAATTTTCTCTCTTTTTCATAATCTTTAAAATATAAATTATGTTAGTAATATTTTTTTAAAAAAAAATGTCATATTAGTAATGTTAAAATGGAAATTTTTTATATATATTGTATTGGTAGTAATAGGGAAAAAAATGAAAAATTTACTTTTAACAAGAAAGGAAAGATTATTCATAAATAGTGCATTATTTCAAGCTGATTTCAAAGTAGATTCAATAGTTCTTTCAAATAGAATAAAAGCAATTTCAAATTAATTTGGATTTCATTTCCGAATTTTACTGTCATATTCCATTTGTTGTCAAAAACATATTTGGAAAATTGATCAATGTTCGAGCTAATGTTGTAATAACTGGCCATTGAACATGAACACATATCTGCTCCGGTTTTCCGTTCCGTTTATTTCACCATCAGTGCTTAAACTATTGCTACTTGCAAAATTGATTTGTAGTTCGTATAGAAATGATTAGAGTGAAATTCTTTTATAACATCCATTATTTCAATCATATAATCAATTTTAAATTAAAATATACAGTGGAAAATAAAATCGGGTACGATATTGCTTCGATTTTTTTTTTTCTGTAAATTATGAACATTATTTAGCTGAATGTATATTAAATTATTTGAAGATTATTTAACTGAGTGTATATTAAATTATTTTCAAATAACATCAAAAGATATATGCTATGGTACCCTTTAAAAATTGATTGAATTTTAAATTTTTCATTGGATAATGTTAATTTTAGGCTTACATCATTCGAGTTAGTTCGTTAGCTACAGATGCGCGGATTGGACATTGCTGGGCACGTGATGGGCAATCGACGTTACAACTTTCGGACGATAATGGTTGTAGCATACAACTTGTTGGTAATGTTTGGAATCATTTTCAACGTCAACAACACGATAACAATATCATTTTCCGGAATCAAATTAAAGCGTGGGCGTTTCCGACAAGGTATGTTAAAGTGTTACAAATTTTATTTTATAACTGAAAGTTACTGTCATAAATGAAATATCGTTTCTTTATATTCATTTTAGCAATGAGAAATATTATGAACAATTTTAAAGAACTTGAAAAGGTGATTGTATATTTTGTAAATTAATGTTAGAGTCAATTGAAGATTTGACTTAAAAAGCTTATAAAAAAATTAAAGAATATAAAAGCACTTCAAAAAAACAAGGGCTATTAAATTTTTGAAAACAAAAAGGAAGATGCATTTCGAAATTGCTGGAAAACTGAAATTGAATGTATGGTGAATGAAATAAATTTTCTCAAAAATTTTCATTTTTTTACAAACTAATTTTAGGATTACTTTTTATGATTTTATTTTCTGGCATAAAAAAGAGATAAATGCAAATTAGAATGCGAATATTGTGAAATTTGAACGAAAAAAATATGATATGAAATGAAAAGAGTGCAAAAGGAAGAAATACAATGAGCGTTATATATTCATCATTGCGGAACAAAACATCACGAATAAAACTTTTCTTTGAAAATTATGTAAATGCAAGCGCTAATTACTGCTTATTACTTTACGCTAATTACTAATTACGCTAATTACTAATTGAATGCTTGATTTGTTTTAAAAAAAAAGGAACGAAAAATTAAATATCTCCAGGAAAATTAAATTCATTTTATTTTTCAACAAAATGTTGTAAACATATAGTCCATTTATAACAATTAATTTTTTGTTTACAGCAATGATGTAAATATATTTTGTAATTTGCATACGTGTCGCATCACGTGTCATCACGTATCCTGCAATGAGAAAAGACAACGGCGAAACGCAATGATGTTTGATAGCGTTGATAATAATGAAATTCATGTTATAAAAACCAATTTTCGCGTTCTAAATAGAAGTAAAGCAATAGCGGGGAGCGAACAAGAAAAGGTTCATTTTATTATTATATATTACAAATAATGGGATAAATTTCTTTTTTAATTTTAGCATTAATTATTTAATAATAGTGATTATTGGAAAGAAAGAAAAAGCAATATAGGAAATGAATTTTGAAATAATAATGGAACGGATAAGCCATGAGACAGAGTCATCATCAAGATTTTATCATTGAAGATATGATAAAATCGAAGAAAATTGTGTTAGAAATTTTTTGGCATATATAATTTTAAAATAAAACGTCAAACTTTGAATAATATCAAAAGGAAGCTTTTAATAATTGTATAAACAAATAAGTTGACATACACACATACACGCATACACACACATACACACACACATACACGCACATACA